CCCTAAACCTTAGCAGCAACCCAGTGGCAGGACTGCTGCTAGCCATCCATGACCATCCTAAGGCTCACGAGCCTTCCCCTCCCAAAGCAAACTGAGAAATCACATGAAGCAGAAAATTCCAACACGTAAGCTCACATATATATATATATATATGCATTTTTCCGTTTTATCTTATGTCAGTTGTTTCTTCTGGGAGGAGGGCTTGGGGGTGTTTTGGGGTTGAGGGCTTCTTCGACAAAGGCGCCCGCTCCCGCTCTTACTCGGAAACAACCATGTAATTTTGGGAATTGTTCGGGATGCGGAACTATGGCGGTCGCAGCTTTTAGCTTCAGCCTGTTACGCTCTTTACTTTTCACGACATACATTGTTTCTGGCCCAAGACTTGTGGATATCTTTCTCCTTCCGTCCCTCTCTCTCTATAAGCTCTGAAAGGACGAAAGTCATCTCCATAAAGGACCCAAAACGGTCGTGGCCTGATCCTTTGTCCGCCCTCATCTTCGATCCATCGAGTTATCAACAAACTCAGCTACCCTTTGAATTTAGGGTTGTAGGTTTAGGGTCCTTGAACCGAACTCCAACGTGGGCAGCCCCTAGACTTCAAGTTTCCTGGGAAAATTTGCAGTTGAGAGTCCGCAATCAATGAGAAGGAGCTTTGGAGTGCTAAGACGGCGGCAACCTGATAAGCAACAAACGTGCTCACTTGCCAAGCAAACAGCTGTAACAGTCACCTCAACAGCAACATCGAGGAAAACAAGCTTCTGAACAGATGATCGTAGCAGTCACATTGATTTGTTCATGTTCACAAGTTCTCATCGCTCATCTTCCTGCCACAGCTCACAGGTACCTACGCCCACGCACTCCTTACCCAGGGGATGCAGGACAGCTCCACATGCAAGTTTCCAAAGATAGGCGGACCTCACTATCCCTTTCTACCGTCTTCCTTGTTGTGGGTGCCCTGCTAAAAAAGGACCTAAACCCTAAACCCTAAACTCTCTTTGTGGAAAGCCCCAGCAGCAGGCCCTGGGCCTCTTTTTGCGGGATCCCGATCAAGGCTTCCCAAGGCAACCACTTTGAGGAGGAGATCTGCTCCGCGGTAAATGGCACGTGGGGATCCCTCAGCAAGTGTTTTATTGGGTTACAGAACGGGTTAGGCAGGGTTATGTAAGTGCTCGATAGGGGCTATAAGTGGCATAGGGTTCAGGGATACCGGAATATGAAATGGAAAACCATATGTAAAATCAAATGGAAACTGGGATTTTGCAGGAAGGCTATGTGTTCCTTGAATTCGGGTGCCAGTGTATCTTTGAGAGGGGAAAGGCTTGGTGAGCCTTAGAGGTAGGCCTTTTGCAAGTGCCAGCCTCAACTGCACCCTGCAAGTACTCCCTCAGACCTGAACCTCCAAACTCCTTGTGCAACAGCGCCCTGAGACATAGGAATGCATCTCTATGGTCCCATGAAACCCGTCACAATCGCATGTGCAACCCATCCCCTCATTCCCTTCAACATCTGCAAGGTTCGGAGGCTTGAGCGAGCCGCTAGCCTCTCCTTCCTGTCCCCCAAGCAGCTTATTCATTTGTGGCGCATACAATCATTGAGGCAACTTACTAGATCAGAGAGGTTTTTTGGCGGCTTTGTTGTATCCAATCTGCAGGTCCGGAGAGTCGCTTACGGGAAGTGCTTCGAATTAGCAGCATGTGTGTCAAATTTGCATTGCAAGGTTTGCGGCGCAGCAAACCTAGGCACTGAACCCCTGAAATCCACTTTCTTCATTGCAATGCCGAGAGAATCTGTGAAGCTCCATATTCACATGCCCTAGCACATGCAGCTCCAAAACCGTCATCTGCAATTCATCGTCAGCAATGGCAACTATGTCTGGTTCCTCGTCGAGCAAGGAGAGCCGGAGGCTTTCTCGAGCAGCTGCCTCAATCAAGGTGAAACTGCTTCAAAGGTTTTGATTTTTTCTTTTTCGGAGCATATGCCTTCATGCCTAAAGCGTGGCTTCTGAACTTTACTTGGAGGTCGGGAGACTCGAAAGCTGCAAATGACTATGGCTATAACCTGCGTGTCATAGAACTTTAGCGCATAGCCAGAACAGGGCACGGTGGAGACCTGCAAAAGGTTCTTAACAACATAGCAAGCAATAAAAGAAGGATGGCTATCCGGATCGATCGCAGCAACCTGAAGATGGGACATGATTTACAGTGGAGAGGAGCTACACTTCATAGCCCACAACTTCGTGTGCAAAACCTGCAACCAAGAATGAAAAGCACCATGGTCAATACTTCATGCAAACAAAGACATAGCAATACATCCTTCACAACGCAAAGCCACCAAGCCAATTTAGACCACGAGTAAGCGGACATCAGGTCCCAAAGACATTCCTTAAGGAAAGGTGCGTAACTCATTTCAGGCATTGTGTACGCAGGAGATTGCTTGGGTAGGAGCCCTATGCTCACTGAGGAGACTGAAAACCATCCCAATTTGTGTGGTGACTGGGCTGACCACAACTGACAAACGGAACTCTAATGCCTCCAGCCGCAGACCAAGAAAACCAATTCTTCTCAACTTTGGAGGCATATCCCAGTACCATTTGATCACGAACCGAGACTTCTGCATGTTATTATTCGGGAATTTCAAGTCTGCAACCCCTGACCCCAACGCCCGAATTGCAGCATGCCTCAAACCTACAAACAGTGTTAATAAGTAGAACGAGGCTCTGGGCTATGCTATACTGCAACTTGATTGATATCACGCCAGGATAAATGCATCAATCACCCAGGGTTCCACAATGTCATCTCCTAAGCAAAGATGGAAGACAATTCTTAAACAAATAGCAGTCGCGGGGTGCCATGCTTGAGGGCCAGGGGCATGGTGGGATCTCAAAAGGCTTTGATATGGACACTTTTGGGACAAAGTTGGTACGTCAGCACAAACACGGACCACTCTCGTCCAGGAACCTAGCTCGAAATACACAAAATCACTGCATGCCAACACAGTCATGAACCTCTGCATCAACCAGACCCCATAAAGGATCCACAAAGGGAAGCTTCAGGTCATTCCAAATTTTCCAAACTCTCCCATCATGGCAATGGCCTCATGTTGGAAGTTCCATTTTGAAGATCCCTTAAGGGGCCTGGGCTCTTGAGCCTCCTGTGCCACCACTAACCCTAACACCCAAACCTTTGCCGTAAACCCGAAACATGAGCCATTGTCTAAACTCCTAGTATCCCCCTTAATATTCCTTATAGTAGTTCCCTATATAATCCCCTA